TAATTGTGAGACTAGTAATTTTGCATTGCTGTGAGACTTGGTTGATTGACTGTATAAAAGAGGTATAAGCTAAATCTGCAAATGTATTTACAGTCTGGGTAAGAGTTTGATAGCATATCAGTATCTGTTTGTTTTCTCAGTTGATCCAAATGGAATTTAGTAATAGTGAAAAACACAAGAGTAGTGCTCCTCTCCCTGGTTCAGAGTGGATGAGGAGATGCTGGAAAAAATGTCCAATATTTTGATGCACCAATCAAAAATGACTGACATAAGAATCACAATGTAATCACAGCTGCTGTTTGCTTGTGTTTGTGGAGTAAATCTGATCAAACTGCACTCACACAATCTTGATTAGTTCATTAGCCAAGTCTTAAAGGCTATAAAAGAAACTCCTTAGATAAATTATAGTTAATGAGATGTTTTTCTAACTTTAAAAGTACTTGTAAGCATGTTGTAAACAAAGCAGTAGGATATTATCAGTTTATAATGTTGATGTGGCAAATATGTTACCACAGTGTTAAATGATCCACTGTGTTCACCATTTGTTTGCTCACATCAGGTGCCATTTGAGAGCCTCAAATGAAAACAGATATAATACACACACACATAACAACAGATAAGATAAGGCTTAGAACTTTCCTTTTTGATAAAGCCTATAGTTAGGGCTGGATCAGGTGACTCTGAGCCGTCCCTTAGTTATGCTGCTATAGGCCTAGGCTGCTGGGGGGCCCCATGATGCTCTGAGCACTTCTCCTCTCTCTCCATGCATCTATATGCCACCATTACATGTCATTAACTTCATGTCTCCTCTCTCCTGTAGTGTGTCCTCTCTCTCTCCTTGTACCTTTCTGCATGATGCCCTGGCTCTGGAGCTCTATGTTTCTGATGAGTAGTGACTGGCCACATCAACCTGCATGTTTGATTGTTTGTTGTGTCTTGTTGCTTTTCTTATCTTTCTCCTCTATCCACTCACCCCAACCGGTCGAGGTAGAAGGCCGCCACCAAGAGCCGGGAGTTTTTCCTCACCACTGTGGACAAATGCTTGCTCAAGGGGGATTTGTTGGGTTTTTCCTCTTTAATAGTGTAAGGTTTGGTCTGTAAAGTGCCCTGAGATGATTTTTGTTGTGATTTGGTGCTATACAAAAAAAACTAAATTGAAATGAATTGAATGTGCACATATAAGAGATGTGAGAGAAACTAGAACAGAACCACAGAAATGAAAATAAAGGATGAAAATGTGAAATCAATATAAACCATTGAAATTTCATCAAGTCTAATCAGCCATCATGATTTTTAATTTTATAATGAATGCCAAGGACACAACCTTTTACCCCTCAATTCATCATCTTTCCAGAAGTGAGAATACATCAGAGTGATAGCAACAGTGAATCACTTTTTCTGTAGAGAAGGATGACTTTTACAGTAAGTGACTTTGTAGCCTATGTGTCTAATTAATGTGTATGAATCGGGTCGTGGGACTTAACAAGTCAAGCTGGGTTCGGATTTAATTGAGAGATAACTGAGGGTAACAGGTCATGTGACTGGCTCTTACGTATATTAATCTTGGGCTGCTTTGCTTGAGAAAAATGTTGTTAGAATCTATTTCAAGGCTAACCCTTCCTCCTTATTTCTGTCACAACAAAGCTCTGCTCTGAGGACACATTACTGACAACTGCACTATTTTTTCTCTCTGGTAACATTTTTGTGAATGAACCTCGCCCACAACCTGAGCACAATATGGCAATTTTTTGTGGCGTCAGTTATGCTAATAATTGTCCTCATGAATGTGCACCTTTCATCAGGTTGAAACAAGTGATTTACATTGATTTAGGTTTGTGTAGTTCAGAAAAATAAGTGATTTAGGATAAAATACAAAGCTTTTATTGTATGAGGCCGAACGCCTGTTTGCTGCTTGGTGGACAGTGGGTTTATTAGTACTTTTTCATTGAAAACAGCTGCCTTCTGCTGCTAAAAAAGGTTGATGAAAGCTCTGAGACAAACCAAACTGTAATTACTGGCTATAAAGCCAAAACACTGACATGAAAGAAGTTAAAAGGCACCATAAAGCTGAGGAAACTGCAGAATTGAATGATTACTCTCTGTGGGTTCATCTGTACAAATTACATTTATAGATAAGACTGTGTTTGATGCATTTTTTTATATAAATGTGTTGATTAGTGCAGCTTTACCTTTGTTGCTTATTCAGTCACAAATACTTGTAGCAATTTTAGGTGTTTTAATTAGCCTTCACAGGGGTCTTCAAGTTATCAGGGAGTACATTGCATGTGTACAGTATTAATACCTGGAGATAAGTGTAAAGACAGTCAAAAAGACATTCATACATGTTATAAAACTTCCTCACAATGCCTAATCCCTTTCAACATTTTACATACGTACAGTTGCTGCTCTGAAACCAGGCTATTCACTGCAGACACATCCCCATGATGGAAATGCCCATCATTCAGATGCACAGGGCACACGGACCACATCCCAACAACACTACTGCTTTTGGCCTATCAATAGAAAAGCATATTATACTTCAGCTTTGGAGAAACACCCTCCAAGTACCCTCAGTGAAACAGTGCTCTGATTGGATGTGTGACATATTACATTTGGAATTAGGTACAGTCTCAGGGACAAACCTAAATGCTTAGTGTAATGGCAAAACTATTAAAAGTGGTGAGAAATGAACAAGAAGCTCAAATGTCTTTGATACATGTATTAAAGCATTTTATTAAGCTGAATGGTCATTGGTCTAAACTCTAGCAGGAGTGAATAGAGAATGACAAAGAATGAAAAGATACTCACAGCCTTTATAAACAGGCAAAGGGGAAACAGGCTGTGCAGACAAATCTGCGTAATTGAAAGGGATAACTATCTGCAAGATGCAGTATGATGGCTGTCTAGACAGTTAAGCAGAATATGTTGTACCCTAAATGAGAAACTTAAAGTTTTTGTTTTTCTATTCTAAGAGTCTGACCTTTATTTCTTAATACAGTGTTTTCACTCCACTCCACTGCTGTACAAAATGGTAAATGGCCCATACTTGTATAGCACTTTTCTATGCATTGCAGCACACTCAGAGTGCTTTCACACTATTTGGCCATTCACCCATTCACATTGCCAAGCACTCACACATTCACACACCCATGACATCACTGGCAGCAACTAGGGGTTCAGTGTCTTACTGAAGGACACTTTGACAAGTGCACTGGCAAAGCTGGGAATCACCACCAACCTTCCTGTTAGGAGACAACCCACTATACCTCCTGAGCCCCAGTCTTCTCCAAAAGTCACAAACAATAAGAAACACTGATTTGTTGATCATTACAAAGTGTAACTATAAGAAAATTGTGTTACTGCAGAGTTAGAAATACCTTGTATATTAAATGTAGCACTATATCTATTTGTTTAACAATTATTTACCTTTAACAAAGGCAGTTTGTCTCTAAAGCTAGAAGGTTTGGGCCTTTATGTCCTTTTTAGAAGAGGTTACAGATCACTGCTAGTGATTTTTCCTTATACAGCTCTTAAAGGAAAAGACAAGGTTGAGTGGCTGAGGAGAGTAATAGTATTTTGATAGTCTTTTCTTTATGCTCATTTAATCCTTTAGTCCATTAGATGATCTGCTCACAAGCTTGTTCTGTTACAGTGAGTGCTCATGTGCCTGGAAATCTTCACGAAAGCTGTGATCATCATGTCATTGAAGGAAACCAAGTAATAAGGAAATCTGTCTCTTACACCATCAGATTTAGTCTCCATAGGCAGCTCATTTAACCACTTTCATTTCCTTCTGTATGCAAAATAAGAATGAACCTAAAAAGGAACTTGGCCATTGAATGCGGCCTTTCTCTGTCATGAAAGCAGCAGGGCATGGAGCATTATGGTGGAAAACACTATCAAACAAGCACTGGATTAATCATATAACATCCATATAGTGACTTAGGACAATTTCAGTAGGATTATTGGTTGTGATTTTATAGTGATGTCAAAATACTATACATTCGTTGATGCAATGGCTACAGTAACATATTTTAAAATATTGGCATGAAACCAAAGACAACATCTTACACCCCATCATTTTTATAAAATTTGACAAACTCATGGGCCCAGCGTCTTAGCCCCAGGAGTAGACTGCTGGTCCCCGCGAAGATAGTAACTCCAGAATTTCAGGCCCCACAAATACATAAAAACATGCACACACACACACACACAAACCACAAACTCGTGAGGAGCAATTGTTTACATTCAGATTGCATCGGGTCGTTACACAAGGAGTGAAGTAGACATACTAACGTATGTATAGCAGAATACTTCAGTTGCTGAGTACATACACAAGGTTATTTTCCAAACAAGCAACAGTGCTTTAAATTTGCCATGTCGATGGTAATCCTATATACTGTATTCATGGTTCCCATTCCACTTATTCTCTATTTATGCACCGAGTGTTCCAGGTGTGTTTGGAGTTGGTTAGCCTGGGGTCACTGTGGCCAGACATGGTCCATCTACCGCCTGGTAAGATAACAGATTTCCCAGGAGCCTGAGGGCGCAGTCAGGCAGAACAGACATATAAACTACTACAGCATAAAGTAAAGGGTCATCCTGGCCAACTACTACACACAGAAGGTGAGAGGCTTGGCAGGGTAGTGGAAATTCTTATCCCTGCAGTGAACCTTTTCTTCAGTGCTGTGACTGTCTTTGTGTATGTGTTTGTGCTTGTGTGGGCCAATCTCATTCAATACCATTATTGTGAGGACAGTTTTTGGCCTCATTCAATACCATTATTGTGAGGACAATTTTTGGCTGTCCTCACAAATTGAAAGACATGGTGTGTGGGTTTAAGTTAGAATTAGGTTAGGGTGTATGGGTTGAGGTTAGACATAATGCTGTGATGGTTAAGGTTAGGATAAGGGGGCTAGAGAATGCATTATGTCACTGAGCGTCCTCACAGCTATAGAAAGACCAATGTGTGTATGTGCGTGTGTTTTATCCAGTCTTACCCTTTAGGTGGATCTTGTTTTCCGGGCTGTGCACCAACACTGAACTAACGGAATCCAAGCTGTCGTAGTTACTGCATCCGAGAGGGCCGGTCCTTGTCTCAGTTACCTAGGAAACAGAGGAGAGACAGATGTATTTATTGTTTTACTGTGTTTCTACAATGCCATTTGAGCAGTGAAGATGTTTGTTCTCATTTCTTAGTCAAGTACACAGCTTGTGGCAGAGCATATGAAGGCAGGCAGAGGACTGGATGTGGCAGAGCCCTCTGACAGGAGGGAAAACTATCACCACCCTTTGCTTCACTCTCACACCTGCAGCCACAGCTGCCTGCAGTGTGTTGGCTGTCTCACAGAGAACAGTGGAAATGGGGGAGACAGATGAGAGAGGTGAGGGAGAGAACAAGTTCAGGTGAAGATTTTAACTTTAAAGCAGCACAATGTGTTAAATCATACTTCCTGCAAGGTTAGAACCTGCAACTTCTCTTGTTGGTAATTGGCCATGATGTGGACGTCACAATGATTGTAAGCACAAACCTATGGCCACTTTTTCCAGTGACAATTCCAATAAAGTATATTCAAAGAAAATGGCCACACTTCGACAAACAGAGAGAAAGGTGGCAATACTTTGTGTAATACTTCAGTGAAAGGAGAGCAACAACAAAAAAGAATGTTATGAAGCAGCAGGTGGCTAGAAGATGGAGGCAATACTGTCTTTCTGTCCGCCACTGAAGTTCAATTTTATAATACACTGCTACATGTAAAATTGTATGTCGATAATATGAAACCAGCTCCTTACCTCCTTGATATTTGCATCCTCCCAGGCTACATACATGAGTGAGTCTGAATATGATGAATATGATGTAGTCCAGTACAATACCGCCTTTAACTATGACCTCAATAATAAACATATAAGTGCATTTATATATTTATGACAATTTCACAAAAAAACCGCCACCTGTACAATTGTATACAATTGTACAGATGGCTGTTAAAATGGCCGGACAGTGTATTTACTAAGGTTTTGTGGCTCATTTTCTCAGGCTAAACAATGAAATTGTGTGTTCATATTTACTAAGTAGTCACAGTGGGATTTTGCAGAGGAAAAGCAGAAGCAATGTGGCATCACAGGAATTTGCGTGATTGGTCTCGTGCATTATGGAACGCATCAGGAACGCAAAAATTAGGGAGGAGAGAATGGAAATTTACACGAAGACTCTCAGCACCTCATTTGCCACCACCATGACAAAGGGAACTGCAGTAGAAATTTAACATCAGGATAAAGCGATGTAAAATTTGTGGCCCTGCTCTCAGTGTGGCAGCTTTAGTCATCTGAGACCTCATCAGAGTTAAGAACGCCTTTGAGGAGGGAGAAGGTGTTTGTAAATCACACTGCTCACCAGAGGAGAATGTGAGGGGCTTTTACAGGCTTTCAGGTCAAACTATGCTTCAGTTACTGAATGAAATAAAAGATGATTTGACTGGCAGGAGACTACATTATTGAAGTTCTGAAATATATTTGATGATTTCTTCAATCGTAATAAAGTTCAGTTGCAGTAAACATACTTTCTTTCCTTTCCATCTTGGTCCATCCGTGTGCAGTACAGGCATGTTCTTACCAGCTGAAGCACACTCAAATTAACACTGCTGCAGCTGTGCCCATTTATATCTTGCTGCTAAATTAAAAAAAAAAAAAAAATTCAGTGCCTCAATATTTTCCATGACTGACAATAATTTGCAACTGCTTTATTAAATATCTCCCCAAAAGTGGGATTTCTGGTTTGTCCAAACTGAATATTGGATGGTTGGATGTTATCAAAATATTACACATATACGCACACTTTTCCTACACTGGATGGGTGTCTGTGTTGACAATTTTCTCTAACTTTATGAAACCAACAAAGTGACAGCTCTCTGGTTGTGATGTTGGCGTGTATCTCTCCGGCAGTTGCCCTTTGTTCTGTTTTGCAGGTGCTCACCTGTACTTCTCCCTGCCATAGTCTCTACTCCTCCTGCTGCACCTGGCATGGCCACAGGTGTGGACTAGTACCTATCTTCATCTCTCGCTGATATACTTGGTGTCTGCCATGTGCACCCTTGTCAAATTGTCTTTGTCATCACCACACACTGCTTCGTGCTTGCCTGTCTATGCCACTTGATATCAAGATTGCACCTTTATCAGCTGTGCCGCCTTAAGGAGTATTATCTGCCTTCCCACATTTATGAGTAGACGCCTCGCACCCTCTTACGTTGACTCCTGAGCTCTGACGGATGCTGACTGGGTAAAAGAAGTTAAACTTGGACTCACCTGTCTTCTTGATGAACCTGTAACATAACTGTGTCCTCTAATAGATAAATTTTAGGTTTCAGTTAAGTTAATGTAATGACATAAAATTTAAGTCTAATCTCAACTTTCTAGCCATATATCATGTTAGTATTTTTTTTTTTTTTTTTAAGATTTGCTTTTAGCTGGTGGTTCCCTAGGGCGACTTTAGCATTCTTATTGTAATTTTTCATTAAAGTACATTGGTATAGTAATTAGACATATACATTCTGATGTATTTGGATGACATTTCAAAGGCAGATCCTTAGATATTCTTAAACATTTTTGGTGGCCATCACCAAAAATAAATGCCTGCGAAAAAATGGAACGTGCATAGACTGAATACATCCATTCTGAGACCTGTGTCATGATTCTGTCCCGTCTGCTTCCGGTCTCATGCTGTTATTTTGACACTACTTCCTGTCCCCAGCTTACCCTGACTTGCCAGAAACTTTATTTCATCACCCATATTGGTTTCACCTGCTTCTTATTACTCATACATGATTACAACAGCATATAGGCAGCTTCCCCACACCAAGAAGCTGCCAAATTGTTTTAACTTCTGTTCAGACTTTCCAGTGTTTTTTCTGTAACTGTTATTCCAGCTCTGACCACAGATTACCTTGTGACCACCAAGTACTCCCTAACACCTCTGATTCTGCTTGTGTTTTCTGTGTATGGATTATCGGACTCCCCTCTCTGACCTCTCGTTTGTGGATCTCTCCGCTGTGTAAGTTTGCTGGCTCTGACCCTGGACTGTATTATCGACCTGAGAGTGATACTTGCTGAATCCGAATCCTGCTTTGTGTTATCATTGTGTTTGTTACCAGTGTTCCTATTAAAGAGACAGTGTTCTGCTTTTACTCATCTGGCTCTGTAATTGAGTTCACCCTCGACATAATCGGCAGCTTTACGTGCCAATCCTGACAACTTGTTCTGCTTGAACTTCAGTAACAGCCTTTGGGGTCCTGCTCTTGCTATAGTGTGGTGTTGTGACAACCAAACTGTTACTGTAGATAACATTTTAATTTTTACAGTCTCTGCATTGTCTGATAAAATGAACCAAAACACAAGTTAATACCTGCAGCTGGGCTGTCAGATCAGCTGTACTGACACTTAAAATGTGTGATGAGAGAGAAGGTTCACCTGCTCTGTCACTCGCCAATGTTTTAAAACTGACACACAAATGGGAAAAAAATGTCTGAAGGTGTTATAATTAAGAGCAGATATAGTTAAAACAGTCTAATTTCAGTAAGGATCACATTCTCTGTCTTTATAGAGAAGGCATTTTTAAAAGTTTCAAAGCTAGATTGTTGATTGTTCATGTGACAGGACCTAGTTCAATGTGGGACAATTTTTCCTTGGGCCAGTGAGGGTCCAGTTCTCACCTACACAGTTCTCTATCCGCCATCAGAAATCACTCAAAATCTAAAACGTCTTTTACAAAGTATAAGAATTACCCGGGGAAAAAAAATCAGACAACCCAACAACATCTGTTTCCAGTCCATGGAGCGGAATGACTACAGAGCTTGAGACATTGCTTTTATACTCTCTATAGCTCCTCCTTGCCTGTGGCTTGCTCCATCCCACCTTTCTCTGACCTACTTAGGAATATACTATTACTTCATTGGTCAATATAGATTTCTAAAAAAAAATTGCAAGTCATGCTGACCCCTTCAAGTTCAAGGTTACAAGATTGACATTACTAATGAGCAAACAATACCTTCAGAAACAGATGTTTCTGATTAATGGTACAACTCAAACCATCCAACCATCATAAACATGTCAAAAACATCATTAAGTTGACATGAAGTGACATGCAACACAATCTGTCATGCAAATATGTCCAGCCCATCAAGCAGTGACAAGAAAACACATTAATTTGTCATAAGATGACATTTAGACAATATATACTTGATGCCACTATGACAGGCAGGTGGCCACAGATGACACATAGAGGTCACCAGACAGATTAATGACCTGTGTACTGTCAGTTGTTAGACAAATAAGCAAAATTAATGATTTTCCACATAACGTTAAAAAATCCCTCTACATAACTTAACAACTAAGGGCTGTGCTGGTGACCCCCATGCCTGCTGTCAAGGCCATCATCCTTGCTCAGTCTGGGCAGCCATCCAAACAACAAACTGATAAGTTTTTTCTATCTCTCATGCCTGCCTCCCCATCAGCCTTCTCACCTCTGCCTGTATCACCCTTATCAGCCTTGTATACATTAAAATAAAGCAAATAAAAGCAAAATAAAGCACATCAAGCAAATGAGAACAAATAAAGCAAACAAATTTTCAACATTAAACTGCATGTGAAACTACAACTGATCTAGCCTTAATAAGGCCTTATTTTAAAATGAGTCTGGGGTGACTGACTAATGTTGCCCATCCATACTGTATGAAACAGTTTGTTGCTCTAGAAGATCAGTCCATCAAGGCTTCAAGGACAGGGAAATATGAGGGTTTGAATAAAAATAAAAATTAGTGGAACTTTGTCATCAAAGTTACAGTAACAAACATGTTAAGTTTACAGTCTGATCTTCTCCATACATGGATTTTGACAGAATACTGTATTCAGATTATCAGTCTGCCTCTGCAGTAAACTAAAAATGAATCAGTGCTCCTCCTGGCCAATCTATACAGCACTGCAACATACAAGGCAGCGCTGCACTGATTATTTCATCAGGGGACTTCACATTCTGACTACATACAGAGCAGGAACACAGCAGGGACCTGCTACGGCTCAGCCAAGGCCTCGTCATAGACCAGCCAGGAATTTAC